CACACAGACTCCAGGACGTTCCTGCTCTAAGGGAGTAGAGCTAAACGCTGCACCGCTGCGGCGCCCATCTTCTATTCAGTCACGAAATATGTGGGAACGTTAAAATAGGGCATTTCTGTGAATTCTGCAAATGGTAATTTACAAGGCTGTCTTCCAAAAGTTATGTAAGATCTGAAAATGATATTTTTGTGTTGCATTTTTTAAAATGTAGTTTTGAGGCATTGATGTCAAAATTGAAGTTGTGCAAAGTGGAAAATATATATTTGGTTTTATTTGCAGGACTTGTTGAAATGCACCTCCACCAAAAAAAAAAAAAAAATCAGCTCAAAGCTCAAAGTTTTGTTCTTGCCTTTCGCCTGACAACGCAGGCTTTTACAGGCCTGTCCTGACTAATGCTGAAAGTCTCAAAACAACAAAGAACATTTCAAGCTTTGTGCATTCACACTCTTTTTCTGAACCCAGCCAAGATCATTACAGCCCGGCTTAGGAAATGGGCTGACGCTGGCGTGACTCAGTCGCTGACTAAGGCCTGTGACTGTGAGAAACTGATTTAGGAGCTTCATTCACTTTTAATTCCTGCTGCGTGCTCATACATATCTGTGTTATTTGTATGTGTGTGTGTGTGTGTGTGTGTGTGTGTGTATGTGTGTGTGTGTTCAGGTGTGTTTGTTTGTGTGAAGTTTAGATGCATCTGGTTGTGTGTTTTTGTTCATCTGTATTTGGACACCACTTTGGGTTCATATTTTGAGCTAACGTGTTTAATTTGACCACTCATTATATGGGTCTGTTGTGAGTGTTCAAAAGTGGATATTTTTTAATCAATTTCATGTGTAACCCTTACGATATAATTACAGCTGTAATGATGATTTGTGAGTCCAGTAAATTACACGAGGGCAGTTTTTATTCGTCTGTAAAATAATAAGTGGAATTTGCCTTTTAAAGGCCCCATGATTTCCATGTGTAGTGTGATTATAGATCAGCTCTAGCTTCTATATTAAAACTGTGAAAGTGTCAAAGCCTCAGTCCACAGAGAAATGCACACAGCCTGTATTCAGAAACTGAGCCTTAAAACCAGCCGCCGGGACTTCCTGGAACTTTGTGATGTCACAACAAAGCTGTCACCGCCCTAAGCCACACCCCGAAGCTCAGAGCCTCCTCTCTTCTGATTGGCTCACCAACCTGTTGTTGCTAGAGCTCCAAAGAGAAGCCTGAGAGAGGAGATGTAAAACTACACTGAGATATCTTCTAATGGATCAACTCTTCAAATGAAACACAGGAAAAGTGTAAAATATGGGACCTTTAATAGAGGCCATCTATGCCCTTATGTGTCACTACCTTTTGTGCATTAAAGTACCGTACACTCAGAAGAGAAGCCTGCCTCGGATGAGAGAGGAAATGAGAGCATGGAGGTTATTAAACAGCTCTTCCCATAAAAGACGCTTCATTGAATTAAGTTTAACTATTGAGGCGAATGACACAAGTTTCTCAGCATTAAATTTTCTTCTTTTTTTTTTTTACTCTCCACCTTCCATCTCTCTTTCACTTTCCCATCTTCCTCCTCATCTTCCTTTATCTCCCAGCCATCCCCTCTGGGTCAAGAGCAGCATATTATCTGATCTCTCTCCACTCTAATGTTGATGCAGTAAAGGCAGAAAATAAAACCCATAAAACCTTTATGGCTTCGATGCCCCCGGTAGATACAGCCGCCCGCCCTGTTCGATCGTGGGCTTTCCCTGAAAGAGACTCTGGAACACATACACTGCCCCACCATCGTGTGAAAAACCTGCCGCGTTTAGATTTTGGAAAAAAAACAATTATTTTCTAAACGTCCAGACGAAAAATGAGATGTCCTTCGACTGCAAAATGTATGTTTTAAAAATCATATACTGAAACCTGCGTAGGCTGCAGGGACATATTTCCAGGGCAGCAATGAGCTTCAGCCAGAAGTGACCGATCTAAATTAAACAGCTTCTCTGCCGCTGTCATTATAGAATTCAGTGTTTCCACCGTCAGTCAGGTCATAAAGGGCCAAATCAGTTTATAGTGCCACTCCTCAGGCCGCGTGTTTCCTTACATAAAAATGATCCCGGTGAGATCAACCCCCGGGGGGCGGTCTACAGAATTTAAATAATAACTTAAAAAACCAAATTCATGTCAGCTACCTTATTTATGTGCACTGCTTTCACGTCAGCTCAGAGTGAGAGTCTCTGCTCTCCGTTTCACAGCAGAGGAGAGACAAGAAGGCGACTCATGCAATAAAGGCTTTTCTCATAAATCTCTCTAAAACCAAAGACGGACAGACGGCGACCCCGAGCATCTGAAAGTGCGGAGAGGATGTTAGCGGGGGAAGCTAGTCCTGGCCAGAAAACTTGAACAAAGAAAAGCTTTTGTTTTGCATCTCATTTGCCTCTGTGATTACCTTCAGTAATCCCACTGGCCTCAGATGTGTCTCTGCCTCTTTGAATGTATCTCACTTTTACATAAACATCCCTCCTGGACATTTTAAATTATCTACTTTCTTTATATGTGTCTTGTGTTTCCGATCGTCTCTCTGTTCCCCTCTTCCTCTTTATTCCATTGCCTCCAGTGTTTCTTTCTACCCAATTTTTTCTGCATATTGTCCTTTAACTTACCTCCCTCTCTGCCTCTCTTGTTCCCAGCTCTCCCTGTACCCCCGCTGTTTCCCCCCTTCATCCCCCTCCTCTGTTTCTCCTCCTTTTTTCATGCCCCTGCGATGTATCATAATCAGCATTAAACCTACAGTAACAGGATACTGTGCAATAGTGTGTCACATATACATTACCCCGTTGCCGTTGTCAGGTAAAAACTTTGCATCTCAACGATGTGACGGTCGCTCATTGTGATGAATCTACTGAGAATAATCAGCTGTTACTGCGGCTCCTCTCAGGAGCTGGAGGAGACCAAACACAGGGCTAAAAGAGACGTCAACAGACCTCAAAAAATCTGACGTTGCAGGTTTAAAGAAAGAAACAGGACAATGATTTTATAACTGCGACATCGTCTGACAAAATCACCAAACACATAAATAAAAGACAAAGACTGTGCCGTGATTTATTCTTATTTAGTCTCTAACACGGCTCACAGCCTCTGTCAGGTAACAGCCTTTTAATAGTCAGGTATTTATTTCTGATTACCTCTGTTTGATGTGTAGAATTGGTCATATCGATATTTTAGAACGAGGTTTTGCTTTCAGTTGCTCCTGTTTGCCGTAATAAAGTTACTGCATTACATGTTCATACAAACTGAACACTTCCTGTAACTGTTTTCAAATTAAAGGCCCTTTAACCCCTAATTTCTTATCAGCCCAAAAAAAGGTACTTCATATTAAGCTAAAAGGCCACAGTACAAAACAAACTGAGAGGTGGAGGATGGTGACACATATAGTTATGACAGCTGTTAAAATTCTGATGGTAAAATTATGATTATCTCTCTTTCTGTTACTGCTTCTGATCAAGTCAAAATAAGACCAGTGCCGTCTCTTTCCAAATGTAAGTGAGTCTCCAATTTGTCCATTGAAACTGTTTCTGAACGCAGCAGCCGGGCTCGAAGAGAACATGTCATCTGGCAACTTGGACGACGTCAGACAAACGCACAAAACATTTGGATGCGTGTATAATTATATGTAATAGAGGTTGAGGTCCATGCAAATTACTGGAGTTTCCCAGGAGAAACCACAAAATGGAAGGGTGCCACAAGATTACCTAGAAATTCGGGAGCGTTGGCAGGTATGCATATAACTCAAAGGCACATATTCCTCATTGTCACACTACGAGGAAAGTGAAAGGATCAACAAATAAAAAATAGGATTCATCATCCAGGATTCATGAATGTTTTCACCAAACTTTGTGCCAATCCATCACGAAGATGTTGAAATATTTCACTGAGTAAATTGAAACTTTGACTTCAGTAGATGGAAAATCGGGGGGATCACTGAAGTCATTCTTTCTCTGGGCACCGGGGACATCTACACCAAATCCATCCAGAGGCTGCTGAGCTAGATTCCTCTGCTGGATGTCGTAAACTGTACATGTCTAAGGGGGAACATCACCTCAGCCGAGTACATCACTTTTACAAAAGGTTTTCTACAGATTTCTATAGATGTAACCCAGAAAATGGGTGATTCAGCCCGAGCTGACATCCAACACAGAAAAACGCGAGATACAGAAATAAAACCGTTCAATAACTTAATAAAAAGAAAAACCTCTACAAACCACGATCTGTTTGATTCTCTGAACCTCAGTCTCACCCTCCAGCGTGTATTTGCTTCCCAGCCTATCATTATATTAGCATTGTTGTCTTTACATATTTAGCCTCCTGCGCCCTCAGTAGGATGTGAAAGGGTAAGAGCAAGCTAGTGATTCATACTCGACTAAGACAAGTGCAAAAAAAAAATGCACAGGACTAACTTCACCTGGAGGCATCTGGTGGTTTGTGAAAATTGTAGAGATCTTCAGTGATTTCAGTCTTCTGGGAACTCGGCATGGCTGTAACTGGTAAAGGATAAATCCAGTGGAGATTGCCCACGGTACCTTGGTAAAGATTCATTTCCTTTGACTGTCTTACTGTGCAATTTACTTTGGGGATGTGATGTTTTTGTTCTTCTTCTTCTTCTTCTTTTTCTGCCGTAGAGGAGAAAGGATCGGAGGCAGAGTTGGAGTTTAAATCACACTTAAGTATTTTACAGCTCATATTTTCAGAATAACTCTCTTGCTACTTTATTCATCCTGTATGTCATTTTATATTAAATAACTGTAGTAACAACTGCAGAGATTATGTGTCTCCAATCCTGTGAAAAGCACTACAAAAAAACTTGCACTGCAAAATTGGAAATAGTGATTGTGTGTGTGTGATTTTATAGGAATATGTTTCTTTCTGCTCTAGGTTGGAAAATATGGAAGCTGCAGTGGAAATTATTAATGATGCCTCTCATAACATTTTGGCTGTAAATTCAAGAGGCCCATCCACTGCAGCCACTCAGCATGGAGAGCCATTTGCAGAAGTGCGGATCTGTCAAACGAGCGAAAAACACGAAAGGAAACGAGAAAGACGACATGGCAGCGCTTGGTAAGTAAAATTCTATGTTTCAACACACTTTCTCAGGGCTATGCACCACTACTGTATGATATGTTGACACTGTTCTCAACAGAGAAAATAACACTATTTGTTGTTTGTTCAGACACAGATGCTTCCCCGTCAAGCTGCACCTCTTGCAGTTGTGAAAATAACTGTCGTCAGCTTTAAGTATTGATGCTGAAAGTGGCGAGAAGTTCAGGTTATTTAGGTTCACATCCCACACATCCTATCGACACTCGACTGGGGCCGTATTACAGATGCTTCCTACAGATCCTGTCTTAACTGTCTGGTAACCATGGTAATTAGGGTTAGGACTGATCTAGGAAAGAAGCCGTTACAGGTCAATATCTCCTAAGTCAATGTTCCTGTTTTATCTGAATAAAAAAAAATAAAAATACAAGCTTCCTAACTTCTCAAAATCTTAAATGAACTCTCCTAACTTTAGGATGAACTGTTAATCTGTCCTAACTTTCACTTTTGGACCACTGAACTGACTTGCTCCCATATCACTGCTTGTTTATTTCTTTTACACAAGCAATGAAATGTCAACAGGCTGAACTTAGTCACTGAAAGACTCATGGCAGACACTCATGATGTGTTGTGTTCGTTAGTAGATACAGGCTATCTTAACCCACTCTCTCTCTCTCTCGCTCTCTCTCTCTCTCTCTTATCTCCTGAGTTAGCATCATTGTAAATTTCCCAAAAAGGACATCTTTGGATTTTTCTACAGATGTCACCTCTAAAAGTGCCTGTCGTTGTTTTAGTTCCACTTTTTGTACGTTTCAACAAGGAATCAAAACAATACATCAGTGAGACGAGATGAGAAAAGTAGCGTTGGTTGCTAGGTAACATACATAAAGGATGATAAACGATGTTGGATTGAGTATTTAGGATTTCTTATCCTGAGATAAGATAGGTTCCTAAAGCTAGTACAAACAAATCTTCTCTTATGCTCTTCCTATCACAAGACTTAAGAGTGGAAGTTTCTGTAATACAGCGTCTGGCCTCCATGGACTCCTCCCACTTAGGCTCTTTTAACCGCGTCCTAAAACAGGGGTTTACAAAAAAATATATAAGTATAAAAAAATGTAAATAGTTTTTGAATGTTTTAAAACCATTTCGTGTTTGCTATACCTCCGTCTGATTGTGCGCTAAAAGATCACATCCATGGCAAAAGCTGAAGAATCAAAATGGATAGCTGGTTAGCAACAGGAAGAGTTAAAAGGAAAGCGAGTCCAGACACAGATGCTGAATCAAAAAGTGACCCAACATGTTTGAGATTTTCAAGTGACCCATGAGTTGGAAAAGTTTGGGAACCACTGCCCTAAACTTTACCAAGTAGCAGACCAGCTTCAGGTGTTGAGCATTTAATTTAAATACTTAGCTCTGATTTGGCAGCGATTAATGACCTCTTATTGTTTTTGTTTTTTTTTTAATTCACTGAGACGACAAAATCCACATGAGGAGGAAGGCGGGGAGGATGAATAATGGCAGACCGCTGTTTGTTTCCAGTTTGAAAAAAATAAAAAAATCTTTAGAAATGCATCAGAAGAAACAGGTAAACGAATTTCCTTTCTAATAAGTACGAATTTCATTACGGGCCCAGTAGGCGGTGGAAATAATGTTAAAGAGTTCCATACAAAATGAGAGAGAATCTCAGTAATCAACCGATGTAAAACATAAATGAAAATGATAATGAAATTCAGACAACTGCACAGAAATTATGCAGAGAGTGGGAACCACAGGGGCCGAGAGAAACAGACGTGTTGACACTGTGCAGACACAGAGCATGTGGGCAATTCACATTAAACTGGGAGACAGAATCACACAGCCGGTAGATCCAGGGTGCAGTGATTGGGCCAAGAGGAGGTGTCACCTGGCTCTGCTCCTGATTAACTATTTACAACTTAAGATTAGAGACGGCATGAATTATTAACATGGCACTCACTGCTGAGACACACACAAGAAGAAAAAAAAGGGGGTAAGAGAGGAAGGAAAGAACGAGAACAAAAGGAAGATGCTCATGGGGGAACGAGGGATGACGGCAGTCGAGGAGAGCGTGGAAAAAGAAAGAAGGTAAGGAGCATAAAGGGATTCTTGGATGGAGAGAAGATGATAGTGGATTAGTAAGGGGATATAGGAAGGAGGGAGAAGGTACGGGTGACATAAAACAATGAAGTCATAGGGAATGGGAGAAGAGAAGACAGGCCAAGTGGGCAAGAGGAGAGAGAGACAGAGCTGAGAGAAGAAAGGAGCGAGGGAGGAATGGGAGTCTGGGGAAGGCTGACAGAAAGGAAATGATACAGGCTTAGAGGAGGAGAGGAGGGAGAAGCAGGGCAGGGATTGAGGCGAAGGACTAGCAGCTCACCAGGGACTCAGGGAGGACAAGACAGGTTTAGCTGAGGAGAGGGAGAGAGAGCAGGGGAGTCTGGGCGATAGCAGACAGGATTGACTCGAGTGGTAGGAAAGCAGACAGGGGGGACGGGTGGTGAGAGAAATACCAGAAAATGGGAGAGAGGAAAAGAAGAGAAAGAAAGAATAGAAAGAGGAGGAGGGAGGAGGAAAAAAAAAAAACCCCACCAGCCACAGAGGAGATGAGAAAGCACAGTGACCACAACAGAGCTGCTAACTGGCTTAGAGAGATACAGTCCCTTCAGCTAATCCGTGACTGTGTGTTGCTAACATCATCCAGGCCTTATTTGATATAAAAAGGTCAGACTTTACTTTAGGAATTCTTTCCCAAAAGTTCTGCGAGGCAAATCTTATCTCTCGCCGCTCGTTGATTGTCGTTGAAAACAACAAGCTAATACAGAAAATATAGCAATGGCAGACTGTGTGGAGTAAGGTTTTTTTTTTTTTTCCAACCTTAAAAAACAATAAAATTTGGCTTTTTCATTCCACTCATCTTCACAAATGTCAACGTAGCTGTGTAACCCGCCTCCCCACCCTTCCCCTTCCATCAGCCAGCCTTCTGTCTGTGTCTCCACAACCTCTGTAGTCCAGGTCCCTGGTGCCCTGAAAGCCTGGTGTTTCAGCTTCCTGAGCCCGGCCTTCACCAGGTCCCACAGCGTCGGCCTGCCAAGCCTTCAGCAAATCAGTTGGAGAGCCACCCTGAGTACCAGCAGGCATCATCTGTGAGCTCGCAGCTTGTCACCTAACTGCTTTTCACCGAACTCTGAAGTACTTTCCATTTCTCTTCTCCTGTATTTTCTCCTGTCAGCCGGTTTGCTCTCTGCCCTCCTGTGTCAGAACCTGTTAGCCCTCCCTCCGCACATAATCATCTAGTCCCCCAGTTTATTATTACTACTGTTAATTTCTTTCTAATTTTTTCAAGGACTTGGCTTTGATTTATTCACAAATGTAGATATTCCTCTGAACAGAGAGAACAGCCGGTTAACACCAGCTCCCCGGTGAGGTAACCTTTGCATTATTGAACCTGCAGGTTTCTGATGACTCGTATAGTGATGACTTGTTTTACAGGAAATTCATTTCTGATGATTTAAAGTGAGTCAGAATCATCTTCTCATATCTTTACTGCAGAAACACATAGCTACATAGCCGAACTCACAACATACACACACAAAAAACAGTCCTAAAAATGCCATATTGAGCATGAGTATGTGCCTATTTAGATTTACATTCTGCACAAGTGTTTCACTTTTACAAGAAAAAAGGCTTCAAGGATGAGAACTATTTTTTCCCCGGACTAACAGTATCTTTGGATAATCTAAACTAGTATAATATCTCAAGAAAGTCTTTTTACTAAAACAGGTACTGGAAAGTGGGGAGTCTTCTTATTTTTGGGCCAACACAGTAGTTTCATAGCACTCGGCTCATTTAACCTATTAAAACCTGAGGCGCCGTTTGAAAACAACCTCCTTAAACCTGTAGGTTTTCTGAAAAACTTGACGTTCCCTGAGACCTTTATTACTCAGCCTCTGAAGTAGAGAGAAACATGAAATAAAAACCATTTGAGACCTTAAACCCTTTGGCCTTTTCCTTTTCTATCTGCTTCAGAGGCTAAGAAATTAAAGTTTTAGTGACTACCTCTAGCTAGCGCCACTGGCTCGCTTCCCCATCATCCTCTGAAATGCCTCACGCCGAGCCTTGACTAGCTGGTTAGCAACTTAGCAGGTTGAAATCAGCGTCTGAATCTTCGAGGTCATTGTTTTTATTGGTTTCATCCAGGTATCTGCTGCAATCTGCTTCAAAACGCATTAAAACCGACACAGTCATATAGGCTACTATGCATGTACAGTACGCCACATCCGGTCTTAGTGGGTTAAAGTACATCGTCCCTGTTCCTGTTTGTCTTCCCAGTTTATTTACAGCAGTTAGTACTGGTTTCTGTTAACCGTAATTAGTCCTTCCTGAAACTTAACCAAGTGGTATTTTGAAAGAGTTGTTGCTCTTTTCTGTTCCTCAGTAAAACAAACCTGCATCTGTTCTTCCCTCAGAGGCCTTTTCTAGCTTCTCTCCAAAGCCTGTCTCTGCAGCTCCGTGGCAGCTCTCCCACACAGTCCCATCTCCAGTGGCCATGTCCAGTTTAGGCTGTCCAACAGAGCAGTCCTGTCCAAGTAAACAATCCATCTTGCTTTTTCTGAGCCCAGGATGTCCTCTACTCTACCATTTGTAGGCCCCCTAAAATTATACAGTATGTACAGAGATACACCACCTTTAAAACTTTTCCTTTTGGCAAGGATACCATTTGAAAAAAAAAGGGTATTTGGAAAATTCAAAAAGTAAATTAAAGTTACCTGCTATGGCTGAATGACTTTTCTTAGAGTCCCACCAATGTTTAGTATCCCTGAGGTGAGGATAGCACTTAAGCCCCGCAGAGCCTGGGGAGATGAAGTAGATGCCCTCCCTCCACCTTCAGCCCTTTGAATGTCTGTAGTGGCGTGGTAGTTTGGAGTTTATAAAACTGGAACTGGCAACGTATGTATATAAAGATGGACGTAGCCTCTGTGATGTCACACACAGGTTTCTGA